GGAGCCGGGGGTGGAGCCAGAGCCGGGGGCCGAGCCAGAGCCGGGGGCCGAGGCAGACCCGGAGGCGGCGGCCATGGCAGCGACCGAGCCGTGGACGGAGACCCGGCGGGCGCCAGACGACGCGACCTGGGTGTAGATGCTCTTGCTGATGGACGCGCGGGCGGCCTCATCGCTGTAGACGACGGTCGGGCGGACGCGGACCATCTGCGGCATGTAGGCCGGGTGGACGGCGGCCGCGGCGGCCGCGGCCGACACCGAAGCCTCGTACTGCTTGTACTCGGCGGTGGCCGGGGCGACGGCCACCACGGCCGCCTCGGAGAACCAGCCGTGGAAGCTGTTGCCCTGGGACTCGCTGCCGTCGGTGATGTGGCAGTTCTCCACGCAGGTCTCATCCTGCACCTTGAGCAGGAGGGTCATGCCGGAGCCGCAGGCCACCAGCAGCACCACGACCACGATCTTGTAGAGGAGGTCGCGCCATTGGGGGCTGTTCAGGGAGAAGCTCTCCAGACCCTCACCGGGCAGGAGACTGGTCGATTCATCGACCTCGGCACCCATGTCGCACGATCACAGACGCGTTGGAAGTGCTTGTGTGGGTAGGGAGGGGGGGGGGTCTGTGTGCGGGGATGGGCGAGGTGGGCGTCAGTGTGTGTGTATGTGTGTGTGTGTGTGCTTGCAGGGGCGGGGGCGAAAGGAGGGCGGGGGCGGGGCAGGTCGGACAGGTGGTGGGGGAGGGGAGACGGTAGAGAGAGGGGCTCTCAATACGGTCGGTTGGGGGAGGGGGCCGCAGCCCGGGGGAACGCCCGGGGCGCCTCGACAAGAAGGATTGCTTGAAAGAGGGGGCGCGGCCGGGCGGCCGGCCGGGCGGACCGGGGGGTGGGAGGGGGGGGGGAGGCGGAGCGAGCCCGGCGAGGGCGGCCGCCGGACACAGCCTGCGGGTGGTGCGCCGGGTCTCGTTGCCGCGGCCCCCCCCCCCCCCCCCCCCCCCCCGGGCATGCGTGGCCGGAAAGGGCCGCCCTCACAACGGGGCAACGGCGCAGGCGGGGGGGACGCGTGGCGGCGGCCGCCGCGGCGAGACCCGGCACTGGCTGGGGCTGACCGAGCAGAGGCCGGGCGTGTACGCGCGCCCGCCCGAGCCCAAGGGCCGGGAGGATCCCCGCACGCCGCGCGCACACGCGCGCCCGGGGGAAAAAAGGGCCCGCGGGCGCGCTCGCGGGGCATGCCCACGGGCAAGGCGGCCGCGCGTGGGCATCCCCCGGCCCGGCCCGCCCCCCGCCTGCCGCTTAGGGCCTGCCCGAGGCCGGGGCGTCTCCGGCGGGGCGGTCCGGCACCGGTGGTCAAGCGCGCACACACACGGCACGGCCTCTGTGGCCCGGCGAGGCACACGCCTGCGCGCGCACCGGCCACAACACCGGAGGCGCGCATCCGGCCCAGGGCCCCCCTCGGCAGATCGCCACGGCGCGCATGCGAGCCGCGACGGCATACAGGCGCGCGTCC